TCAATGACCTCATCGACGTCGCGGCGCTCGGCTATCAGCGGCACGCGTCCCGGAGCTGTTGCGCAAAGATGAAGGGCCGGACGGATTCCCCGAACTCCATAGAGCGAAACTGCTGACGACTCTGCTCCGGGGAACGGCCGACCCGCTGAAGAATGGCGCGTTTCAGGTCTTCATAGACTAGGAGGTTGCGGACTGGCAACTGCTGGGCGGCGATCTGCGCTTCACCCGAGAGCAGTGGGATCAGACGCACAGGCCAGTCCGCGGGCGGCCAGCTCCCGGCCTCGGCCGACCTCTCAAAGAGGTCCAGGAATGCCTCCGGGTCGTCCTGGGGACCCATCTTATGGAGGGGAAGGGCCGTGGCCGGAGCTGACGAAGTAGACATCCGAGCCTCCCGGTCTAGCCAGCTCCGGAACTGCTCGCGGTCCTCATGCTGGGTCTGGAAGAGTGCCTCGAAACGGCGCTGTTGCTGGTCCTCCATCTTCAGCAGAGCTTCTTGATGTTGTTGGTGTAGTCCCGCGAGCGCGTTGATGATATCCGCAAACGGCGATGACAGAGTTGATCTGGCGGCGGCCTCTCCTTCCATCCCGGGTTTCGGCACCAGTGTGATAGAACTCAGGATTCGTGTGTGGGTGATGGAAGAAGACTCAGGATCGGCAAAGAGTGGAGCTCGTGCACTTTATTAGTAATGCTCTTTTCACTGCGCTCTCTGGCGCTCTCACAACTAACTCAAAATTATGAACTCAATTCACATGTAGAACAAAAACTCTTCCCGCTGGCTACAGCTTCTCAGGATGCCGATGAAGCAACAATCTTTCCGCTGTTCACAGCTTCCCGATCTGCAGACACAAACGGCAGCATGCACGAGCTTCCAGTCTCTCTCTCAAACCGCTGTCAGCACGGCCCGCTTATATGCGGTCTCCTCACGCCAATTACTGAAATCACAAACAGGTGTTTGTCATTTGCACTTTACCCACTTACTCACCGCTCGGTTCCGCCCTCGCTCTCCCGCTACAGACTTCGCTAAACCACGCCCCCCTCGCCACAATCTCTGAAGTATATTCCCAATCATATTTAAGTTTTTTTGTTTGTTTTTTTAGCACACCAGGGTGACTAGGAAGATGCCATTATTCCCTGTTCCACAGGAGTTTAAATATGAGGAAACACAAAGGCCAAATTCCCTTAATCATCCATCACAATGAGTAAAACCAAAGAATAGTTCTGATGTGCAGCAAAGGATTCTTGAGCTTCACAAAATAGAAAGTGGCTGTAAGAAAATAGCTAAAGAGTTGAAAATCCCCATTTCCACCATCAGGGGACCAATTAAGAAGTTCCAATCAACTAAAGATGTTATGAATCTGTTAGGAAGAGGACGTGTGTCTATATCGTAATGCACAGTGAGAAGGATAGTTTGAGTGGCCAAAGACTCTTCAAGGATCACAGATGGAGAATTGCAGAGATTAGTTGAGTCTTGGGGTCAGAAGAAAAAAAAAAATCAAGCAACCCATACATCCCCATATGTTGTTTGGGAGGGTTTCAAGAAAAATCCTCTGCGCTCCTCCAAAAACAAATTCCAGCATATTCAGTTGTCAGACACGACTTGGACTTCAAAAGGGACCAGATTCTATGGTTAGATGAAACAAAACAAAAAAAAGAGCTTTTTGCCAGAAAACCCACCTGATGGGTTTGGTGCAAACAAACCCAGATAAGTTATTTTAAGTTATTATATTAAGGTTAAATATACCGCTGGATCTTTAATGCTGTGGGCCTATTTTTTTGCTGGAGGTCCTGGACATTTTGTTCAGATACAGTTGTGTCCAAAATAATAGCAGTCCAACATCACTAACCAGATCAATCACTATTTCTGCTAGAAATTAAATTTCTACTTGGCAAATAATTTACTAGTAGGTGTAGTAGTAATAGAAAAACAACAGACCCAACAGTCATGACATGTATGTTGCTAATTTTGTATAATTGAATCATTAATTGAAAGGGGTGTGTTCAAAATAATAGCAGTGTGGAGTTCAATTAGTGAGGTTAATCATTCTGTGAAAAAACTAGTGTCAATAAGTGGCCCTTATTTAAGGACAAAGGCAGTACTGGACTGTACATGGTGGTTATAGCGCATTTCTCTCTGAAGATCTGAATAAAATGGGCCGTTCCAAACATTGTTCAGAAGAACAGCGCACTTTGATTAAAAAGTTGATTGGAGAGGGGAAAACTTATAAAGAAGTGCAGAAAATGATAGGCTGCTCAGCTAAAATGGTATCAAATGCTTTAAAATGGCATCCAAAACCAGAAAGACGTGGAAGAAAACGGAAAACTACCGTTCGAATGGATCGAAGAATAGCCAAAATGGCAAAGACTCAGCCAATGATCAGCTCCAGGGTGATCAAAGATGATCTAAAGTTACCCGTGAGTACAGCAACAATTAGAAGACGCCTATGTGAAGCCAAGCTATCAGCAAGAAGCCCCCGCAAAGTCCCATTGTTGAAAAAACGATATGTGCTAAAGAGGATACAATTTGCCAAAGAACACATTGACTGGCCTAAAGAGAAATGGCGCAATATTTTGTGGACTGATGAAAGTAAGATTGTTCTTTTTGGGTTTAGGGGCCGCAGACAGTTTGTCAGACGACCCCCAAACACTGAATTCAAGCCACAGTACACTGTGAAGACTGTGAAGCATGGTGGGACAAGCATCATGATATGGGGATGTTTCTCAAACCATGGTGTTGGGCCTGTATACCACGGATCATGGATCAGTTTGAGTACATCAAAATACTTAAAGAGGTCATGTTGCCTTATGCTGAAGAGGAAATGCCCTTGAAATGGGTGTTTCAACAAGACAACGACCCAAAACACACCAGTAAGCGAGCAGCATCTTGGTTCCAGACCAACAAGATTAACGTTATGGAGTGGCCAGCTCAATCCCCGGACCTTAATCCAATGGAAAACCTGTGGGGTGACATCAAAAATGCTGTTTTTGAGGCAAAACCAAGAAATGCAGAGGAACTGTGGTCTGTAGTGCGATCGTCCTGGGCTGGAATACCTGTTCACAGGTGCCAGAAGTTGGTCGACTCCATGCAACACAGATGTGAAGCAGTTCTCAGAAACCGTGGTTATACAACTAAATATTAGTTCAGTGATTTACAAGAAAGCTAAATCTTCAAGCATTTTTCAGTTTATACAGTAAATGTTTGACTTTGTAAAGAAAAATGCAGACACTGCTATTTTTTTGAACAGCCTAATATTCCCTTTTCTTCACTTTCTAAAGTAAAAACAAATTTCATAAATTTTTCTTCATGTTTTGATCTTGAATAGAATGTGCAGTGTTCCCAATGCATTTTTGTGTATTGAAATAAAAGTTATTATTAGGATTTTGAGCTTTACTCACTTTTTTAAACACACTGCTATTATTTTGGACACAACTGTATATGGTATCATGGATTCAAATAACAGATAAAAAAAAATATCAAAACCTGATTGCTGCTAAAAATCTTGAAATGTGAGTTTCCCCCCACTTTCAAATGTTTTACTTCAATGAAAGGTTAGAATTTTGTGAATTGTTTGACTGAAAGATTCATTTTTCACAGCCGCCTTTGATCATATTTACAAAGGGTGCCGATATTAGTGGAGGGCACTGTATATTATATTCTTATAAGAGGGACATTGCAGATATAACAAGTTAAGCTCAATCTACAGGATTTGTGGCATAATTTTGACTACCACAACATTTTTTTTTTCTTAAAGCCTCTATATAAGGTTGCCACAGTACCAAATTTTCAGTAGGGCTCGTTGGTACCAATATACCAGTAAAACAGCACAGTTCTATGTACCAATTTCAGTACCAGTTAAATTAAGTACACACTTAAAAAAACAAAAGAATTGTCCCATTTTGTCTCGTCCGTTGGTTATCACTGTCAATCATTGCGGATTCCGATTCAGTTGCACATTTAAATACATTTACATATTCATTTAGTAGACGCATATTCAGCAGTTTTTGAAAATGGCTATGGACTCAGCTGCTCGGGTTGAGTTTGGCAGGTCATTCCAACAGTCATGGTAAAGGTCTGTGAAAAAGTGATTTTGGGCCTCTTTGGTATGGCACTACAATGTGCTGTTCACTTGCAAAGCACAAGTTTCTGGAGGGCACATAGGTGTGAAGTAGTGAGTTTAGGTATGGGGTGCAGAGCCAGTGGTTGTTCTGTAGGCAAACATCAGTGCCTTGAATTTGATGCGAGCGGCAATTGGCAACCAGTGCAAGTTTATGAGGAGAAGGGACGTGCACTCTCTTCATCTCATTAAATATCACTCTAGCTGCAGCATTCTGGATCAGTTGCAGAGGTTTGGCAGTGCAAGCTGGAAGGCCTGCCAAGAGAGCATTACAATAGTCCAGTCTGGATAGAACAAGAGCTTGGACAAGGAGTTGTGTAGCATGCTCCGATAGGAATGTTGTACAAGGCAAATCTGCAGGACCGGGCAGTTCCAGCAATGTGGTCTGTGAAGTTCAACTGATCATCAATCACAACACCAAAGTTCCTGGCTGTCCTGGATGACAAACCTAACTGAATGGAGAAGTTATGATGAAGTGTTATGTTGGCTGAGACTATAAGCAGCTCTGTCTTTGCAAGGTTGAGTTGAAGGTGGTGGTCCTTCATCCAGCAAGAAATGTCTGTCTGTCAGGCAGGCTGAGATGCGAGCAGCTACCATCGGATCCTCTGGTTGGAATGAGAGGTAGAGTTGTGTGTCATCAGTGTAGCAGTGATAGGAAAAACCATGTTTCTGAATGAAAGATCCTAGTGATGACATGTAGATGGAGAAGAGAAATGGTCCAATCACTGAGCCCTGAGGCACCCCAGTAGCTCGATGTTGCCAACGTAACACCTAAAATGGCTAAACAGTTCAAATATCACACAAGTGTTAACAGAAGAATGTCAAACTATGACAAGAAACTGGAAAAGACTCTTTCATTCAATATAAAGTATCTGACACAACACTCTCTTTTTTTATAATTTTCTTTTTATTTATTCAAAAGAAACAAGGAAAAAGGCCAAAAAAAAAGTTAAGAAAAAAAGGCAAGACATTTAAATAGGAGTGAATGTGTGCAGGTGTGTTCAAGAGGAGGAGAAGGAGGATGAGGGCGCACATGATTTCTCACTGCGGGTCTGACGAAACCCAATGCTCAGGCTAAAGCAGCAAGCCAGAGACACTGTCATACCAGAGAAAAAGGCACTAATCCAGAGAGAACAAAACACATCACGGAAAACCAGGTCGATAATACACAAGGAGGGAAACAAAATACATATAAAGAGCTAAAACATACAACACTGAAAAGACAAAAATGAAGGAAAACCAAAAAACAAATGCATCACATTAGTCGATGTGACAACTCTATATTTGAAAACTCTCTGGTTTCTTACTTCTTACTGGCTTAACCGGCATCTGCCAGTTTTTCGACACCGAATATAGTGATTTTAAATGTTACAAATGCAGTAAGTGAACAGCTTTTGACACCATGATTAGATGCGTCTCTGAAATCATGCACCTGCAGTTCAGCTCTCCAATCTAAAGTCCCTCATGATGATCTCTACAGAGTGATGTCGGCTACATTCACAACCCAAGAAAAATAAAAACTGGCTGCAATAAATACATTGGCTTAAAAATGGTGGCTAGCCGCGGGGTATTTCACATTAGATCAACTCCTGCAAGACCGGAAGCTCCCTTGCGATATATCGCTATCGTCAAGGATCCACTCATCTATTGGTTCTAAAACAAAATAAGAATGATGTCAAATGGAATACATGATGCGTTAAATACTACGGTGTTACGTCTGGGATGCTCATAAAATTAGCATGTCCCAGAGCTACTCCGTTTCATTCGCCCTCCCCAAAAAATTAACATAATTTACAATTGGAAAAAAGAAAACAAAAATGTGTTGAAAGATAAAACTGACAGACACATACAAATATATAATATATATATTCTTAAAAAAATGGATTCTCTCTATAGGTGTTTTTTTTTTCCACAGCCCAGATGTACAATGCATTTGCATTTTTTTTAACTCTTACATTTTTTTTTCCTTTTTAAAAACAGCTTCAGGATTTACTATTATAAAGAGATTTAAACATGCAGCCAAAAAAAAAAAAAAAAAAAAAAAAAAGTCTAATTGTAGACTAGAAAAGAAGCCAGAAGCAGCAGGATGAATCTACAGATAGAATCATTGTTGTTTTAATTTATGCGTTGTTTACTATGCTAAGATTCAGCCTTTCCTTCACCCTAACAGCTCAGTCTGGACTGGAAGCGTTCAAGAAGACATCACGATTCTCAGGAATAATAGTTTCGCCCGGGCACCACGAAAGAGGTGGAAACGTCCAGCCTCTCTGCTACGTTTTTTTTCTCTCCATGATTTCAGTCACAATTTCCATTCTTCTGTGCCACTTTAGATTTCACAGGACTTTAAGGGTGTTGACGGGGACATGTAGGGTAGTCTGATTGTATGTGAATGTGAGGGGCCGATAATTACAACTTATTCACTAATCACTTGGTTTTTTCCTTTACATGTTCCGGTTCACAGGCGTGACGTAGTTGCGTGGAAACATGCCCGTCTGGCCGTGGCAGGCGCCCTTCCACCAGTTGGGGTCAGAGTTGTCCAGGACCTGAATGAAGTCTCCGCGTCTGAAGCCGAGCTCTCCGTCCTCCTGAGGGTCGAAGTCGAACAGGGCCTGCACGTATGTTGGATGCTGCAGATGCACAATAGACACGTGTAAATAACATGATGGCACGGTTTGAATCTAACACATACTCTACTGTACAAAATCTTAGTGTCAATAAGATTTTGTAATGTTTTTGAAAGACTCACCAAGGCTGCATTATTGATAAAGAAAATAGAGTAAAACAATACTGTGAAATATTATTACAATTTAAAATACCTGTTTACTGTTTGTACAAATATAGCATGTAAAAATAATTCTAAACAGCTTGAATAAAAAAAAAAAACATTGCAACTTAAGTGTACAGTAGCTTAGAACAGTTGCATCTTTTTATTTTTAACAACAGCAGTAGTATTAACAAAAGGCAATAGGCAAAGTCTAATGTTTTCAAATGGAGAACATAAATAACTGGCAAGTCTATCATCTTTGCATGAATAAGCATTCCACTTTAAACTACAATTGTTTAATAGGACCGAAGAGACGCTGGAATTCGGTGGAATACGCATACATTTTCAGAAAAACAAACAACGAATACATCATCGCAATTTCCGAGTCCATTTCCAGTCCGAGTCAGAATTTTGAATAGTGATTTTGTAGGTCTAGATTATGAAATACCTGCTGACAGATCGCTGTTTTAACCTCTCTTGCGGAGATAATTCATTTCTAAATAGCTGTAATTTAGTTGTTTATTAGCTAAATAAAGGTTACACAGTAAATGTTAATGTAATTTAGGGAGTTTGTAAACGAGTGGATCTTGTTAAAGGTTACATATGGCGGCCATGCTAGAGCATTTCCTGAGCATCAACCCGGAGAGTGAACGGCACTATGAAAGTGATTTTACAAGACTGATGAGGAAAAACAACAGAGAGAGAATTAAATTCAGCAGTTTTATTTCCAACATGCACTCATTAATGGCCGTTTTATTTAAGTAACGTAAAATTCCATCTTTAGTGGGACATGACTTGGATTACGTGACTCCGTGAGTTCGTCTCTATGCTTTAGCACCAAGTTTAAACTACATATCAAGCATGTAACTTCGTTACAGTCTTCGTCATCATGAACCTGGTTGTGTTTTTTGATACCAATCTTTTATACGAAAGCCACGTTTCTTGTTTTAGTTTCTGTAAAACCACATCTTTCCAGCTTAAAAATATATATAAATTACGACATATGCTTTCAATGACAAATGCAGAAAAGTTAGTTCATGCGTTCATGACCTCAAGGCTAGATTACTGTAATTATCTACTGGGTGGTTGCCCTGCACGCATAATAAACAAACTCCAGCAGCTAGAGAGCTTACTAAAACCAGGAAGTGTGACCATATTAGCCAGGTTCTGTCAACACTACATTAGCTACCTATTAAACATTGCATACATTTTAAAAACTGGCTAATTACAAAGCACTAAATGGTTTAGCTCGCCAGTACTTGAGCGAGCTCTTAACGCATTATAGTCCTTCACGTCTATTGCGATCTCAAAATTCAATACCTAGATTTCAAAATCAACTGCAGGTGGTAGATCCTTTTCCTATTTACCACTTAAACTCTGGAACAGTCTTCCTAGCATTGTTCGGGAGGCAGACACACTCTGTGAGTTTAAATCTAGACTGAAAACACATCTCTTTAACCTAGCATACACATAGCACATGATCACATTTCTATAATTCAAATCCGTTAAAGGATTGTTAGGCTGCATAAATTAGGTGTAACGGAACCGGGAACGCTTCCTATAACACCAGATGTACTTGTTACATTGTAAAAAGAATGTCCTCTACGCTTATATTAGTCTGTCTGTCTCATCTTTATCCCGCGGTTACCATAGTCAGTCAGATCCGGTCCATATCCAGATCAGAGGGTGGACCTGCACCTAGACACGACCAAAATGCAGCCCTGTATGTCAGCAGAGACAGTGTCTACAAGACAATCCCCTGTGAAGACCTCGTCAACACGACAGCCATCGCCACAGAACCTCAGCAAAGACCACAAGAAACAGACAGGTCCTCTGCAAAGACCCACATGGCCAGTTTCGTCTCCATACCAGCATTCATCACCAATCCGATCTTCGAGCAGACGGAACTGGGTGAAATATTTTGAATGCTACCTACCAATCCACAATCTGACTTCTGACCTGTAATGCTGCCTGAATCATAATCACACAGTGTTCGTTCGTTGGCCAGAGGAAACCAGAACTTAACTGAGCTGGATGATGACATCACTGTTTCCTCCAGCGCTGCTTTATTGCGAATTGAACTGATTTCATAATTGATTAACTTTACAACGAACTGATTTCAACTGAATTATGACTGTTTACTATTGTCTTTTTAGAGCTGCTTTACAGCAGAATTGAATTCTGTTTGCATCATTGAATAACTATTTTCCTGTTTATTACTGTAAAGCTGCTTTGAAACGATCTGTATTGTATAAAGCGCTATAGAAATAAAGGCAATTTGACTAACATATCTCATTTGTGCATTAATGGCTGTTATGTTAAAATTTTTGACTAAGGGAGGTAAGTTATTTTACCTTTGAACACTCATCTCCCCTCAAACGCAGTGCTTTAATGGCAGTATTGCACACAATTTTTAAAACGCCCACAAGATGGTGCCATTTATCAGTGAACCCGATATTCGATTATGGAAAAATGCTTAAATATAGGGAAAAATATTGGTAAAACCAGTTATTGGTTTCGCTACAGTTGCGATACACAGTGTGGACAGTCAACAATTTAGATCAGATTCCAAACGAATACACAAATAATCCGACTTGGACTGACAGTGTAAACAAAGCCTTTATCTCATCTCTTAAAAATATTGCCAAAAAGCCCTGGTGTGGTGTTTTCCAACCTTTCAGATTTTTTTTATTATTAAATAATTGTCTTCATTTAGAGTGTATAGCATGCCTTTTTCCCTAATGTTATTGTAAATGATTATTTACGGCAGGTTCTTCCAAAGAAAAACATGTTCCCATGAAACAACTTCCCTGTTCCACAGATTTTACTTGAAAAAGTGTTGCATTACAGAAGTAAAAACAGTCATTCACAAAGACTAAGGATTAAAAAGGTCAAAACTGGCATACAGACCTGAGGCACCTGCTCGATGTCTCGTAGAAAGATCTGTTGGTTTCTGGAAACGGAAGTGGTGCGGTGATAGTCCACCAGCTCGTTTAGAGAGTTAAACTTCACGACCCAAAGGAAGTACTTTCCAGCCCCGTCACGCAGCACTTTGAAATGCTGTACATCATTACCAAACCTTAAACAAGAAAGACACAACACTTCACAATTGATACCGAAGAGATTGACATAATGCACTCTTTTGTGTGCCATCATGATCCAAAAATAAAGTTACATAAGTGAACGGAGGTCAGAATGCATATTAACACGTGTATGCAAACAGGCGAGACGGGCACGATAGCCGGGGATCAAATGGGTAATTGCCCTGATGTCTATCAAAGAGCCGCCGTCACTCAGGCGAGACAGTCAATTCACATGATGACATTTTGCTACGTCTTTACATCTACACTACCGTTCAAAAGTTTGAGGTCAGTAAGATTTTAATGCTTTTGAAAGAAGTCTCTTCTGCTCACCAAGGCTGCATTTATTTAATCAAAAATACAATAAAAACAGTAATACTGTGAAATATTACAATTTAAAAATGGTTTTCTATTTTAATGTGTTTTAAAGGGGACCTATTATGCCCCTTTTTACACAATGCAATATAAGTCTCAGTTGTCCCCAGAATGTGACTGAAGTTTCAAGTTCAAAATACCCCACAGATGATTTATTATAGCATGCCAAAAAATCCCCCTTTTGGGTGGAAGCAAAAACACGCTGTTTTCATGCGTGTATCTTTAAATGCAAATGAGCTGCTGCTCCCCAACCGCTTTCCAGAAGAGGGCTGCGCCTTTTCTGCTCGTGCCATTCTGGCAACAACAAAACCGGAAAAACAGTATGGCGCCATTTCCACAGAACACGTTTTTGCATTCTACTGCACTGCTTTTCCATTGTTTTCTATGTAAACTCACGCTAGACAGACCTTGTGTTTTTTCTCGCATTTGGGGCCGTTCAAACGCAAGGAGTCGAGACATGTTTTTTTTTTTTAAAGTTAAACTTCTTTTAACCGGAGCACTGCATTTTTATAACAGCGTTTCCTGTGCGGGACTTTGTTAAAGATACGAGACACAAGCGCAACGCTCAAACGCGTCTGTCTAGATAGTTTACGTAGAAAAGCAATGGAAAAGTAGCGCAGTGGAATGGAAAACATGTTCTGTGTTCATTGATATAGCCAACAACAGAACATTTAGGAAGCCTGAGACAAACACTTCTAGCTACGCCAACTCGATCTCAGGCATCACTGTGCTCCCGGTCAGGACTCGGACTTCATTAAACCTGTAGTGCTGGGAATAAAAAGAGGTGGATTTGAGGCTGTGTTTGTGTGTCGACGTACTTGACAGACAGTGAGAAGTCTCCAGGCGCACTCTCGCTCTCTCTAATGAGGAAGGCTCCGTCGTGCCTCTGTTTGTTTAGGATCTCCTCCGCTCTGGCCCGTGGAATTCTCCCGAAGAACCACCTGAACCACCAAATATAAACGTTACGATTAAAGAGAGAGATGTTGAAGACAGAGATCAGATGAATTTCACTGATTTACAAGGAAGTGTGGATGAATAGAAAGGAGGATCATTTTCAAAAAGACAGACAGCACAGAGAAAAATCAGCTCAGAAGAAGAAGAGCTACAGAGTTTAGAAGATCAACACAGTGTGTGTGAGCAAAAAACATGCAGATGTGGTCTGCCTGTGGGTTTCTTCTAATAAAGCTGGTCTTTCTTGTACAAGCCAGTTAATAAACCATCCAATTCTATATGTCCTTTACTGAATGAACTCAAATTTCAATAAGACTTGCTGTGTTTGTGCATGTGTGCGGCAAAGTCAGGTGAACAGGGTTAAGCAAACCTGACAACCAAATGCCTTTATTTACTGGATAGACAAGAAACAGCTGACGAATCCAAAGTGCTGTGTGGTATTATAAATTATTTCCAATATCATCACTGCGCTTACAGACCTTAGATGGAGTACATGCCATATTTCAATGCCAGTAATACTAATAATAAAAAATATGTCAATGGTTGCATTTTAATTTAACAAGATTTACATGTAAGAATAGTTTTACAAATGATTTACAGTTATGCTTATGTTTCATTAATAAGGTTCAATGCCATAATACTGATCATTCAAAAGGTGTCAATCAAAAAATTGTTCTTTCCCTCACTAAAGCTGTTAAGTACACAGTCTTGTTCCTTTGTCTTTTTGTCTGATTTGCAAAAACTATTTTGCTTCGAATCAAAGTTTGTAATGTTGTGATTCACCTTTTGCTGATTGGCTTGGATCATGGCTTATAACTCTTTAACAAACACTATTTTAAAATCTCTATTTATATTTAAAATCTCCCCCTCTCGCTCTATATATATATATATATATATATATACACACACACACACACATTCATTTATTTATTTATATACACTGTACATATATATATAAAAATTCCAAAACCAGCTCTGCTGAAAAAGGGGGCGGGGACTAATGCAATCTACCAACCCTCACACCTTTATTTTTATTCAAATCAAACATGTAGGTAATAATATGATATGAATATTTGAATTAATATTTGAAAAATATTCTAATACTCTATACTTGAAAAAAAAAAAACATAATTTGTTTTTTTATATGTAAGAAATAAAAACTAGGGCTGTCAAATGATTAATCACGATTAATCACATCCAAAATAAAAGTTTTTTTTACATAATATATGTGGGTGCACTGTGTATAATTATTTTGTATATATATATAAATACACACACATGCATGTATATTTAAGAAAAAAATATTATTTATATATAAAATATTTATATTTATATATAATATAAATTATATATAAATCTATATACAGTATATACATGAAAATATTTCTTAAATATATACAAGCATGTGTGTGTATTTATATATATAAAATAATTATACACAGTGCACCCACATATATTATGTAAAAAAACTTTTATTTTGGATGTGATTAATCACGATTAATCATTTGACAGCCCTAATAAAAACATAAAATGTACGCTCCCAGTGGGGTGTTAAGTAAGGCTATTCATAAAAACACTGGCTGTCTCCGCTGTACCTGCCGGATCTTTCCTGTCCGCTTTAATGTGGACAGCACAGACACACAAACACAGAGCATGTGACCAGGATGTGACATGAAAGCACTCTAGGGCAAATTCCACTCAACCACCGTCTGCACGCCGTGTCTCTCTCCGCTCAAACACGTACATTTACATTCCCTGTCCTGATAAGAAACATCCACCTCCCCCTCCCATAAACCTGGCCTATCTTGTGTAGCTGTCCTAGGGTATTAAAAAGAGTCCGTGGTGTGTTTTCTGGGATGTCAAACAAAGCAAGAAAAATACTGTTCGGAATAAAATTGAAATAAAAGCCCTTTCTGCGACTGATGACACCACTGACGCAAAATGATCAATATTCAATTATCTGTTAAATAGAGGAAGCTATTCATAACAAAGGCCCTCCCATAAGGACACCACAGCAGAAACTAATGTTATGAATTCTCCTTTATTTAAAAGTTACATATTACTGTAAAACATCAAGTTAAAAATAAAACTTAATGTGGCCATCAAATATTTGCAAATGAGGTAAATATTTATGTTGTGAGCTTTCAAATAAAAATACTAAAAAAGAAACAAATGTATAGCTGAAACAAATGAAGGTTAGCTCTTATGGCTTGAGCCAGCAAGAAAACACTCAGGACACCTTAGCAACCAACTAGCAACAACCTAGCAACCATTCAACACACAACAAACAATCAGAGTACCTAGCGGCTAACTGTTGCTTCATTTCCATTTCAGAGAGAGGGGAAGAAGGTCTTTGATTGGAGGATCCTGTTCAGCGCCTCATCGTGTCATTACAAGGATTTCAATTCTCTTTCTCTGGCAAATATTAGTCAATCATTCATTCATTCATTCATTAAAGCGAGAGAGAAACACTGAGACGAATGAGGAAGAGAGCGGGAGGAACAAACCGGTTCATGTACATGTACAAAGACTTTGAGTTCAATCAAGCCGATTGGTATCAAAAGGGCAACAAAGCGTTCCCACGAAAATCATCAGGAAGTTCACCGACAAAAAAAGAAGAAACTGCAAAATGCACAAGGAGGAATTTGGAAAAGTAAACCTGAGAATCTGTGACCCGAGACGATTATTGATATAATTCCTGAAATGTTCAGATTAGCTCACACATTATTAGTCTCACTCTCAAGGCCGATGGACTATAGAGTTTCTTTAAACGTACAAGTCTAATGCCTTTGTGTGCTGTTGAACGCAGAAACATTTATTTCAAAGTCAAGTTATTTTGTTGGACTGTTTAAAATATTACGAGCTCTAGCAGGAATTCTGCAAAGCAACAGTTAAAACAAGTTAACAGTTAAGCCAAGGCCTTACACATATATACACAATTACGGTAATATATATACTGTATGTAAGGGATAATGTAGAGCGAGGCGCTTGTTATAGTGAATAAAACCCCGACAGGCTGATCTTGAATCAGCCTGAAGGGGTTGTATTCGCTATAACAACCCTATCCCTCTTATTACATGGCTGCCTACTAAATAAATCAATAATATGACACAAAATATTGATTTAAAAAGGAGTTCATTGATTTAAAAACGATTGTATTGCTTCCGCTAAAGAAAATAGTCCGTTCCTGTGAGAACTGAGTCCATGGCAACACTGTTTTTCATGGCAACGGTGTGTTATACTTAAGCAGTTATTAAATTCAAGTAATTTTAGTAAATTAAAGTAAAGTAAATTCAACCTGCACGTTGCTCTTTATTCTACATTAGAATTCAACCAAGCCATGTAATATATATATATATATATATACACATATATTATATACAAAACGTTATGTTAGATGTGATTAATCGCAATTTATTATTTTGACAGCAATAATGTACAAAGATTTTATTGCCAAAATAAAATTAAGCAACATAAATATTGCAGTGATTAACGGGTTTTTATATGTAGTTTCTTATACAACGCCGTTTAAAATTTGAGCTCTTTATTTTTTCTTTTTCTTTTTTTTGAAGAAATTAATACTTTTATTCAGCGAGGATGTATTAAATTACAGTCAAGACATGCGTTGACTAAAATGTTACAAGAGATTAATATTTCAAATAAATGCTGTTCTTTTGAATTGATAATTTAAGAAATGTAAAAATATATTAAAACCAAAACCAGTTATTTAAAATTGCAATAATATTTCACAATATTACTGCTTTTACTGTATTTACCCAAACTTTTAAACAGTTGTGTATATATATTTACAACAACTGCTGACTTAAAATAAGATTGAGTAAATATTGTGTAAAAATAAATCATTTACAAATATTTGAAAATATAAGATGTGCAACATCCACTTGTCAAGTCTGTTGGTATATTCTGAAACTGACACTTTCAGGATTTAAAACCAATCAGTTTAGTTCGGTTCTAGGAATCAATTCTTTTGAACCATTTTAATGAATCGTTCAAAACAATGATGATTCACCAGCATGCGAGTTATTTTAAGCTATTCTAATACATAAATATCAAGATGTACATTCTAAATGATGTAATAAATGAACGACATCTTCCAGCATGCTTTCTGATGGCAGTTTAAACTCATGACGCAAACTGGAGACCCTCGCTCCTCTGAGCAGAGCTGTGTAGAGCTGTTATAAAATAATTACAGTAAATCTCCTCAATAATACAGGCAGATTCGTCAAACAGATGTCTGCAATGAACAGAAACACACCAGAGGAGTTTCTCTCAGATTAGTGAATTGAAGTCATGTTAGAGAAGTCAATTCTCTGAATGCCTGAAACTTGGGCCGAATACCAAGAAAATGACTCTTGGTAGATTCATCACAGTTCCTTAAAACCTTAAATTCTAAAGAAAAAAGATTCTGAATTAAGCGTTTCTTAAGATGGGAAAAGAGGAACTACTCGTGTCATTTCATTTGGTGACACTATCTTTAAAGCTGTGAATGATCTCAGAGTGGTTTGAAAGGTGTAGGTGGCGGAAGTGTCTTGTACTCACGGATGCGCCTTCATCTCAATGTAGTTTTTAGGAATGAAGCCGTCTTTGCCGTTTAGTTCTGCTTTGTACCAGTTCTGATCACACTCTTCATTTAATACCTGCGAATATAAGAGAAGACGATTAATACTGATTAAACATGATTCACGAATATCCAGCGGTAATTGCACATTACTACACCATAGTTTGCATACAGCATTATGTTGTCCGGCATATATAACAGGGTTTAAAAAAAAAAAATCCTGCTGAATTATCACAAGCATGTGAGTCACTGTGGTCAGACAGAGCACTATCAAAGAAGCCAAACATCAAATCAGCATTAGATAGTTAAACATCTGTGTGAAAGAGTAACGCAAGAGTAGTCATGCTAACTGCCAGTTCAAACCACCTGCGTTCTGGTCATTTATCTTATTTTAGCATCAGTATATGTATTAAAATGAAAACAGAAATGTGTGTGTTTACTTTTAATCTGATTGGACGCTAAATGTATCTATCGACTGAAACTTTATCAGTTTAGGTTTCAGAGATCCACCACTCTGATCAAATCTATTCCATTTTCAATTCCAAATGTCGAAATTATTTTTGATAAATGTCTATAAATGATGCTGTTGGAAACTATTAATTCTGTCCAATGAAAGCAATAAGACCCCCAAATGGGAAAACCATAAAAATAGGTTTTAACTTTTGCTGTTATCAAACAACATCCCTTTAAGTTGGCAGCAAATACAAACATATCTTAAAACCAAAAACTATGACAAATTAAATCTTATACATCTAATTAAATTGGAAAGATATATCTTGTGGAACTCGTTGTGACGTCACGTTTCTATTTCTGATGTGCTGCACAGCTACTCCAGTCTCCAGCTATTTAATTTTTCCTTGATTGCCAGAAATTCATTTATTATTTACAAATACTAGTGCAATGCCCGTGCAAAATCTGTTTTTGTGTGTTTTTAGTAATTGTTAGTTTGGTATGTTTGAGTTGCTCGATAGGCTACTATTACACAGGAGGCCTAAACTCTGAGAAAACCATAACGTTAAGCGCACAAGAATAAAATATAATATTCAGAATTAAACAGTGTAGCTGACTTACAGATTCAGTTAACATCCACAAACGAATAAGCGCGACGATTCAGGGGAGGTTCAGACCTTGGCTGGAGCAGCTACACAGTGAACTCCGAGAAAACGCTACGCTTGAGCAAACAGTTTGTGAATAGGCTACTACAAATGATGGCCGTGAATAAAATATAATATTCAGATATTATTAAACCACAACCCTCTAATGTCAGAATGTTTATTTTTAAACCACAACCTTCTAAACATCATCTAAACATCTTCAATGTGTGCTTCTTTTACCGAGACATGCAAAACACACAGACAGACGTTTCTGTAATTTATAGATAGATGTATTTGTGTCTGTGACTGTGTATATATTATCTATCTATAAATTACAGGAATGTCTGTCTGTCTGTTAATCGCATATCTCTCGAACTGTTTTTCAAATTTGTCTTGCTACGGGCATGAGTAAGTGCACTGCAGTGCCAAGTTTGACGTTGTTTGGATTAGAAATGCAAAAGATATTGTTAAATATATCGGGTAAAAGTAGCACACATTGAAGTTGTGGCCCTTGTGCACTGTTCGAATTCTGTGTACACCCTTTATGGAGCGGGTCAAATTGACCCTAATTGGATTCAATACAATTCCTCAAAAATCACACTATGAAAAACAACAAAGATTTAGATACAAACTGTAAACTTTTAATATCAACATTTGTCAAACATTACAAAAACATTATCTGAAAATATGATTTATAAAAATGTTTTTAAACCAATTTTTGACAAAATTGGAAAATAAACAGTATACTGACTTTTTTGCATATACATTTTTTTTTTTTTTACATTTTATGCTTTGAACATCGTAACTGAACAATAAAATTTTGCTGTATAATGAAAATGTTAAATTTTCCTAAGTTAACTTTCCCTAGTTTCATTATTCACTCACAGGGAAGTGAGAAACCAAACATAACAAAAACATACATCAAATAAATGTTTTTTTTTATTTTTTTTGGCTCTGTGAAGCTGCCTTAAAAATCCTACATAAGTTTTGGTTAAAAGCTAGGTATTTTTAGATATCTTGAATATTGAAATGAGAGCTTATTTTACTATCTGTGTCTGACAAAGATTTTCACATGTAATTTGCAAATAATTCTAAACACTGTGATTTTAGCTTTTTCAACTGTGTTAGAGCACTTTTAGATACACTTGCATGTTAGAACTGGAGTTGAAGTGCCCTTACCATAGAGAAAATAAATGTTTTTATTTTGTGTCTGACTCTGTACAGTTGCTTTTGAATGGCTGCCTAATGAGGGTCAAATTGACCCGCGAACATCACGAACGTAATAGTAGTTTTGTTTGTATAATATGTCAAAACACATCAGCATGTTGAAACTTTGCATGCATGTTCATCATGATAAATGAGAAAAAGTCACATAATATCAAGAAAAAAAACTAAGGTTAACCAGTGTTTCCAACAACTAGAAAATCGAAACGGGTCAAATTGACCCGCAACATAACACAAGGGTTAAGAATAAACATTCTGACATTAGAGAGGGTTGTGGTTTAAAAATTGTGGTTTAAAAATAAACATTCTGACATTAGAGGGTCAACTTCAATGTGTGCTACTTTTACCCGATATATTTAACGATATCTTTTGCATTTCTAATCCAAACAACGTCAAACTTGGCACTGCACTTACTCATGCCCGTAGCAAGACACCTGGCAAATTTGAAATCCATCGGACTAACGGTTCGAGAGATATGCGATTAACAGACAGACACACAGACAGACGTTCCTGTAATTTATAGATAGATGTCAAATGATTGATACATCTGTGAATGTGACTTATTCATTTAAATAAGATCTGGCCATTATCAAAGTCAGCTGTTTTTTGATCTGTTGCTATAAATCATCTCTCTTTTTTGGCATATTTCTAGAAATTTAAATGATGTGTTATTATACAACATGATATATCGGCCGATATTTGGATTTTTTTTAATTATAGGCACCGGCAGGTTTTTCTGTTTAGCTGATAAGTGTCGGGAGCAGCTTTTATTTTGACAGTGATGGGACTTTTATTTTGACAGCACTAAGAACGCCAGCAGCTGAACGCAGATGCTAGCATAGACATAAAATATATAAATTTTCATGTGTTATATAAATGATGCTGTTGGAAACTATTAATCCTAAATAAAGTCCAGTAAGAGCAATAAGACGTCCAGATGGGCAAACAAACACTCAAAAAAATAAAGGTTTAAATTTTTGCTGTAACCAAACACTATCCTACGGAGCCCCTAAAGGGACCTTTGCAAAAATAAAACTATACAGACTTTCTCGTGAGCATGTGAAAGTCTGTATATTTTTATTTTTGCAAAGGTCCCTTTAGGCCGGGGCTCCGTACTATCACTTTAAGTTAACTGTAGATAAAAACCAAGATCTTAAAACCAAATGTCTAAAAATATGACAATTTAATATTAGATGTGTCCAGTATGGACACATAGAAACTGATTAGAAAAATTGTCCTGAGATTGTTACAACAGAGCGGCTTTTGAATTTATTCCAAAGGGAAAGCATGGTGCCTGTCTTCAGATTCTCTGCATTGGCCAATGTTCTTTTCAATAGCATTCAGATGTGAGAGGGAAGGTGGAGGACCAAATATCTGCCACAGAACAGACTCAAAACTGTGGTTCGGAGGAAACAGAGCGTGCAACATCCTTCCGCTGCAAAGATTGATGGGTAGACAACCAAAGGAAGAGGAGAGAAAGAGAAAGCCTGTCAACAAGGAATGGACCATTGACCAAAAATGAGTTGGGAACAATTAAAGACTGTGAGAACATCCACTTAAATGTCCAACCTGATGCCCATTTCCACTTGAAATGGCTACAAATGAAAACAGAAAACCTTGACGGTGGATTTCATATGTGGTTTTAACACCTGGTTAGCACCTTCGGGGTTCACTTTTACTTTGAATTTCGCTTGTGAACAATGCACATGAGAACTACAGCCATCCACAATCCAACTAAAACTAACTACGGTCACAATGCAGGCCGAATTATAGACGTACTCAAACCCGCGAGTACTTTACGTTTAGAAATAAGCCAGTTTTCATGATGCATGGTAAGTTATACATACAATGTACATTTTTGACTGAACATTGACAGATCATTTCAAACCACCTTTAAAGATGTAAATCAAAAGTCAATGACCACAACATTGCCAGCAAATGCAATCTCTGACCACACCTCAAAATGTATGCAATAGTATTAACATTTAAAAAATAAATAAAACAAAACAGACAACTTCTAAACATTCTCCTTCCCATTTTTGGAAACATTGTCTTTTTTTGACTCGCACGTACAGTTTGCTTTGTTCATAACTGGAATTAAGTGGGTGCCAAGTCAGAAGTGTAAGAGGACATGTTGGGCGGATTTCAGTGCAGCAACAGAGCGAAGAAACCCACAAAGAGAAATACAGAGAGAATTGATTGTGCAGTCCTCTCCCTGATGCATACTTCAAACATAATAGGGTGCTAACAGCTCTCTGCTAAACCCAAAAAACAACAATGAGATTGACACCATCCACTTAGCGGCTCCAATCGGGTGCGAAAGCTACAGATGGCCATCATTTATTTAGAGAGGAAGTGATCTCGCTAACTGCCTGCATCAAGTTTGGGTCTGATCATTTACCCAACCACACATACCGCTTCATCGACACGAAAGGTCATGTAGAGTGAATCTCACGAAGCCTGCTAAAAGCAGAGCCGGACAGTAACGAAGTACATTTACTTGAGTACAGTACTTAAGTACAATTTTGAGGGATCTGTACTTTACTCGAGTATCATTTTTGGGGAGTACTCATGACTTTACTCAAGTGCATTTGAGAGGCAAATATTGTACTCCTTACTCCAATACATTTCTATCCATAACCGTGAGTACCCGAGTAAAAAAAAAAAAAAAGAAAAATCTCGGAAACCCTCAATTTGTTGTTTCCCTCTCAAACGTGATTGGATTGTGCAGGCACCACGGATTGGGACAGCCTATCAGCAA